GGGGGGGGGGGGTGACGATGACGACGAAAGAACGAAAAAAGACGAGACGATTTTTTATTTAAACGTACAATTTTAAAATTTTCCCTTTTTTTTTTAATTGTGTGATGGTAAACACGGTGAAGTATTTCCCTGGTGCCACGATAAAAAAAAAAAAAATTTACGAATAAATTTCGAAAGGAAAAATATAATAATAATAATTAATTTAAAACCGCAAATCGACGTTTTGATAAAATAAACATAATCTGAAAAAGTGTTGCACAAACACATAAGAATTTTCTCTCTCTCTCTCTCTCTCTCTCTTCCAGACTTGGGAAAATGTTTTTATTATTAATATTAATATTATTATTACTATCATTGCAGGCTATGGCCCCCGAAAGATCGGGACAAGAGTTGATTCCAAGCAATACAATTGTAAAGGAAGAAGAAGTTGTTGGTCCTCCGAAACACTCTTCTCTTCTTGGAGATTTCCTCGAAATTAAAATCAAAGAAGAATTGTTGGAGTACAAAGACGGGGATATTGAAAACGGTTACAAGATCAAATTAAAGAGAGAAGAAGATCAAGATCTTACTTCGCTTTCCTGGCTACAAAACAACAATCTGTTGAAAAGTAAGCGTAAGTATAAAGAGTGTAGGGAGTTTTGTACGAACAAACAAACAAACAAACAAAATAATAATAATAATAATAACAACACCGTGATGTTTTTTTTGGTTGTTGTTGTTGTTGTGGTGGTGGCGACACACACACACACAAAAGCATGAGATGTTTTTTATGTTTTCGTTTTCTACCTTGTTGCAAGTTATTATTATTATTATTTTGCTTTTAATAAATATTATTGTTCATACGGTTCAATATTGTTTTGCTTTTTGTTTTTAAATAAAATGTCGAAGAAATTTAATTTGAATTTTGATATCGCACAGCATTGACATTAACAGGAGATCCGATTAAAAAGGACCACGAAGAATCTCCGACGAGTGATTTAGCAGAAGAAACGGGAAGCGATTCATCCACTCATTCGAGTCGTCATAGCCCGTTTATCCCAGTTGAATTATCCTCTTCGGTTAGTCTAATGGAGGACTCTCGTAGCGTGGAAAAAGTTCAATACGGGAATGGTCCAAAATATTACACAAATTCACATAATACACCGATGAAAGATAAACATCATTATAGCGTACCTTACGATCCTCAGGTAGAAGAGGGGGGAAAAAAAAAATGGGGGGAGGGAAAGACCGCATTCGTAAAAATTTAATTTTTTTTTTTTTTTTTTTGAATTTCAGTTGCATGTAAATTCAAAGCCGCCATATTCGTTTTCATGTCTTATTTTTATGGCGATTGAAGATTCACATGCGAGAGCTCTTCCCGTGAAAGAAATTTATTCGTGGATCACGGATCATTTTCCGTATTTCATAAAAGCTCCCACGGGATGGAAAAATTCAGTTAGACATAATTTAAGTCTTAATAAATGTTTTAAAAAAGTAGACAAAGCTCCGGTGAGTTTTCGAAGAAAAGGTTGCGTGGGGAAGTGGGGAAGTGGAGGGGAGGGAAAAAAAACTTTAATTAATATTTTCCTCTTGAATTTTCCTTTAGAATTTGGGTAAGGGATCCCTGTGGATAGTCGATCCGCAGTATAGGCCCAATTTACTCAACGCGCTTTCCAAAGCTCCGTATCATCCTTGCGCATCTTTGGATAAACCCGCGAAACCTCCGACATTACCACCCTCGAATTTGACGGTACAACATCAAGAATTCATAGCTATGAAAACGCAAAATCGACTTCCAAATCCTGAACTATTTCCGTATTTAAGTAGACGGTAACCGCCATTTTGTTTTTTTTGTTTTTTTTTTTTTTTTTTTTCGATATTTATAAAAAAAAAAGTTCTCGAAATTTATTTATTTATTTTTTTTTTTTTGTGATTTCTTTATAGATTAGCAGCTTCCGAAGCGGATAGAATTAACGAAGCAGAAGAAAGCGAAGAAGATTCTTTAGACGATGTGGATGCGGCGACGGCCATGCTCGAACTCAAACACGGTCAAGCGACAAACGGAAGTCACGTGGATATTTACACGTCGGATTACGTTCAACAAAAATATTTGAGAAGGAAACCTACGAAATTGCGAGAGGTACCCAAAATAATTTTAAACCTTTTTTGCGTTTTGGCTGGTTACCTTTTAAAAATTATTTTTTGTGACATTTCAGGACGAATTAATTCCAATAATATCGACGTCGCCGAGCGAGGATCACACATATTCTGTCGAACACACTTCAATCAATTACAAAGAAAGTCAACCCCCCGTGTCACCGGACGAAGCTTACGATTCAAATGATGACAAGTGAGTTTTCCGCCGCGATTTGACGACGATGAATATTTATATATTATTATTATATTCTCGAATCGATGTGATTTTCAGTTCGAGACAATATATCGAAGATTACAAAAAGAAAAGAAAGTTGATGGACGCGGAAGAGGATAGTTGGTCGTCGGACGGTGCGGAACAGAGAAACGTCGCATCTGCTCTTTTGCACTTGGCCGGCGGAAGTAGAAAAAGAAGTTCTGATTCAGCGTACAACAACAACAACAACAACAACAACAGAAGCAGCAATATCAATCCATCATCTGCTAAAAAGTCAAATTTTCAAAAAGGTACGTTCAGAAATTCTACTACTTTTTTCGTAGCGTAAACAAAATTTTTTTCCGCATCGATTTTTTTTCTTTCGATATGATTTTGTTTTTTTAAAAAAATTTATTTAAACGTGATAGGGTCGTTTTTTTTAATTTTCGAAATTGACAATAAATAAATAAATAAAAAAGAAAGAAAGAAAGAAAAACGTTTAAAGTAGACGTAAAAAAAAAAAAATGGTAAAAATTTTCAGTCAAAAGAAGTCATCATCGACCTACGATATTGCAACGATCTCCTAAAAAACAAACAGGGAAAAATAGGCACGGTACGATGGACAATCCGTCGTCGAATTTCATAAATAACAACAATAACAATAATAATAATACTATTAATAATAATAACAACAACAACAACAACAACGACAAATTTTTTTATTCGGGTCGACCGGGATTCAAACCAAAGATAGAACAACAAAACAACAACAATGCAAGGTAGAATTTAAAAAATTAGAGGGAAAACAAAAACGATAGCGGAATAATAATTTTATAAATTTTTAAATTAATTTAGTCGATTAGAGCATAATTAGGATGAGAAAAAAATAAATAAATAAATAAATAAATAAATAAATAATAGTTATTAAATTTAAGTATAATGATAATAATAATAATATATATATATTTTTTTTTTTAAATTTTTTTTTTTTTTTTAAAACAAAAACAAACAAGAAATTTCGTTACGATTGTGATAAGCATAAAATGATATAAATATATATATCTGAAAATGTTTCACAAAAATATAAATAAATAGTTTTAAAAAAAAGTTAATAAATAATGATAATGATAATGATGATGATGATGATGATGATAACTGCATACATAAATGTACTTGCTTATTTTTTTTTAATTTTTTCCGTATTCGTTATTTGAAAACTAATTTTTTTTTCTATTTTTTTTCTATTTTTTTTTTTTTTTTTCTATTTTACTCATTACCCGTCTCATTGATTAATGATTACGTCGGTGATTGAATAATAATAATAATAATAATAATAATAATAATAATGATGATGATGATGATTTAATTTTGTTAAAATTTTAATGGAGTTCTTCGTGTCGTCGTCGTCGTCGTCGCAAATTTTTTTTTTTTTTTTTTTTTTTTTTTTATATTCGAGTTAAAAGATGAATAAGTGAAAAAAATGGGGGGGGGGGATTTTAATTTATTATCATTATTATCATTATCATTATTATTTATTTATTGTAAATTAAAATAAAGCCGTAGATCATAGTTAAATATATAAATATATATATATATATATATATATATTTTGCCAATCGTGTATCAAAAATATTATTAGCTCAATATCTAAGGCACAACCTATGGAAAAAAATTATTTTCGTAAGAAAAAAAATAAGAAAAAAGTTATTTATTAATTTATTATTATTATTATTATTATTATTATTATTATTATTATTATTATAATTATTAATTAGATTTCGTAGTCATACTCATCATCATTATCGTTATTATTATTTTTAAGGTTTGGTGTTGTTGATAATTATTAAGTCAAATTTTTTTCTCTTTTTTTTTGTCTCTCCTTCATAAAATCGAATCATTTTATTATTTATAATTAATTAGTCATTTTAATAGGTTATTAAGGGGAAGAAATAAATAAATAAATAAATAGATATTTATAAATCTCAATTTTATTTTTTTTTTTTTGTTGTTAATCAATATTATTATTATTTATTTATTTATTTAGTTTTTTTCTTCTTGAAAGAATAATAATAATAATAATAATAATAATAATAATTAATAATAATAATTATATAATATACGTGTTTAGATAAGGTTTTACTTAATAATAATAATAATAATTAATAAACAAATTAATTAATAAATAAATAAAATTAAATTAAAATGAAATTTGCCTTGGGACCAGAAAATTATTATTCGATTAAGTTATTATATAAATAAAAGGAATAATAATAATAAATAAATAAATAAATGTAATAATAATAATAATAATAAATAGAATTGGAAAATAAAAAGAAAAAAAAAATTATGTACGGTAGAAATAATAATAATAATAATAAGGGCGTTTCGATTATTATTATTACTCTTGCTTAATAAATATTTATTTAATAAAAAAAATTATTTATTTATTATAATATTATATAATATATATATTATTATATATAATTTTTTTTTATTTTGTTTTATGAATCGAAATTTTTTTTTTTTTTTTTTTTAAATCGAATACCGCGTATTATTATTATTATTATTATTATTAATGTAAATTTTATCTAAGGTTATCTATTATTTTTAGTCAAAAAATTTAAATTTTTTTTGTTTTGTTTTGATTTATCAACGTTAAATTTTATTAGAAAGAGATAGATAGAGAGAGAGAGAGAGAGAGAGAGAGAGTGAGAATATATATATATATATATATATATATAAAATAACATTTAGAAAAAATCTGTATACGTACAAAAGAAGAGGGGGGAAAAATGAAAATGAAAACGAATAGACAACAAGTTTTTTTTGTTATGATGATGATGATGATGATGATGATGATGATGATGAGGGCAACATGATGTTTTAAGTTTATTATTATTATTATTATTATTACTAAAATAAGTTCGTTCGAAAAAAAAAAAAATTTTTTTTAATTATATAAACAAGACGCAAACAGAAAATTAATAATTTTTCATTTAATTTTTTTTTTTTTTAAAACGTGTGCCCTAATTATTATTATTATTATTATTATTATTATTATTATTATTATTATTATTATTAATATTATTATTACTACTACTTAGGTTGTACTTTATTTCAGTTAATAAGTCAGACAGTAAAAAAAAAAAATGTGAAAGATAATTAAGAATAGCAAAATTGTTAAAACTTGAAACTTGAAAATGCAATTAAGAAAGATTGGAGGGGGGAGGAGAGGGAAAAGGGGGAGGGGGTAGGGGAAATAAAAAAACTTTTTTTTTTTTATATGTTTATAAATTATTAATTACACACTCGGAAAATTTTTTGATTTGTTATTTAAAAAAAATTTTGATTAGAAGACAATCCGCGGATGAAATTTGTTAAAATTGTTTGTTTTTTTATGTTATGAATTTGTTTAAAAAAAAAAAAAAAAGGAATATTTTATAATGTTTAAACAAATTAACTTTATGATTTTATTAATTATTAATTCTGATGATGATGATGATGATAATGATAATATTTAGAAAAATAAAAATAAAAAAATAAAAAATAAAACTCATGCTCACAGCATCGTGACAATCCATTCTTACATATAAGCATTTTCAAGGTCAACAAAATTGTTTATAAATTATAAATAAACAAAAGAAAACCTTAACTGATAGGTACAACCTATAATAAATAAATAAATAAATTTATTTCGTTTTTTATTATTAATATTATTTATTTATATGATAATAAAAAAAAAAAAAAAAAAATTTATTTTTCATCGTGGCCATATTTTTCAAAAATTATCATTACTATTACGATTATTATTATTATTATTATTATTTTGTTTAATGGGAAAAAAAAAACGTTATTGGTTACCATTATTAATATATATATGTATTGATTTTTTTTTTTATTTAAAAATTATTTCTGTTGTTTTATGCTGACCGGGGAGTCATTCTTTTGCCTTAATATATATATATATATATATATTTTGTTGCTGTTGTTGGTCTATTGTACAATCTCGCGCGTTTTTATTCTAATTCAAAAAAAAAAAAAATAATAATAATAATATTAATTAATGGATCTTCCCTTTTTTTTCTTCTGTTTTTTTAGTAATTCTTATCGATTTTGTTGTTATATATATATATATATTTATTGTTTTTAAATATAATAAAATGAACTGTGTGAGAAAGAAAAATTTTAATCATTGATTATAAAATCACAAATCAAAATGATTTTTATTATTATTATTATTATTATTATTATTTTTGAAAAAAAGAATAGAATGTATATATGATAAAGGGGCGTGGTGGAGAAGGAGGGGAAGGGAAAAATTTTTTTATTATTTTTTGATTAATAATATGTGCCAATGAATTATTTAATGAAATTACCAAAAAAAAAAAAAAAAAATTAATTATTGGTATATACATATATATATATA